CCATATATTAACCATATATTAACTATATATTACCATTTAATACTATTACCCAATGTTATTCTATTGGCTTAGTAATACATAGCCATATATCTGGATCTGGATAAATTATGATGTCCCTGCGACGTCACGACGTCACGATGGTTACGGGTATTGTAACCAACCCTAAATACAATGGTCTTGTATAATTCAGACTGGAGAATTATGATGAATTGTTATGATTGCCCAATTCTTATCAATTATGATGAATTATTATGAATTACTATGACTCATTATGAATTGTGGTCCCAATAAAACGAATGTAGTTGCCCAATAATAAAAAAAAACATTGGTCAAAGTCTTCCACCGAGGCTTCGTCGTACACAAGGCATCGATGACCTGAAGCCGTAGGTTCCAATATCAAAAACGTATTAATCGATGTAATTATACACGTACGTGTGTGTGTGTGTGATATGCATGTTTATACATATATGCATATATGCATATATACATATATATCTACGCATGTATACATATAGATGTGTGGTGGTGAGGTTTCAGAACTGTGTTTCAAACCATTTTGGACCCAACAAGAGACTCCAGGGGGGCATGTTACCAGCAATCTTTTGGTCACTAAGCTTGTGGAAAATGCCCAGTATCCTGGAGGGATTCTGTTTCCACAAGTCACCAAGAATCGCCCAACGCAGATGGATTTTCGTTCGGCCTCCACTTTCGAGTGTTTTTTTTAGTTCATGATGTTGAGTTCAAAGGGCGAGGAAAACTAAATCTGAGGTCATTTTTTTCCTTGACGGCTAAGAGACGCAGTTTTCCTGTCAAGACCCTGATTCACTTAACTGCGTACATGTTGTTGCGTCCTCTCTTGAAGCAACCAGTTTTTTTGCAACGGAAATATGACTCAACATTTTAAAAGTATAGTTGTGTATGATCTTCCACGGAAAATCCACGAGATTTCCACCACATTTTTTCTGGTCGGGTCGCATGCCATAGGCATCTTCCCATCGCTGGTTACATCACCCTTCATTGGTTCCCTTCCCATTTGCCATACATTTGCAAAGTATGGCAGGTTTTGAAAAAGTCGTCTTGAACAAGGAGCCTCAAGCGGAGGAGCCACCGGAATTGCCAAGCCTGGCCAACTTGGAACGGCGAAGCTGATTTTTTTCCCGAATGCGTAGCAAGGGTTCCCATGAAAACCTCTGGGGGGTTGGGGGTTGTTCGCTAGACGTTGCACCTGCGTTCGCAACCGTCCGCAACCGTTCGCCGCCGTCCATGTGAGGTCCCTATGGCCCTGCCTATGGGGAGTGCTGCAAAAGTGGTCACTTTGGGATGTTTCAAACGAGGTCAAACTGCAGCTTTGAGTGGCAGGCGCACTTCGTGACATTCTCACGTGTCTGGTAAAGTGTCGAAAGTCGTTTTGTGTGACGGGCGCAATACTTGCTAAAGCTTTTCAGATGACAACTTGCATTTTTCATGGCAGGGGCAGCACTTTGGAGACCTCCATATTCATTTTGTGTGGCAGGCGCAGCACTTTAGACGTGTCGTGTTGCGTGATTTTTTTCGAATCGCAATGTCAGGGCATCGTGCATTCGCGACGAGGTGCAAATCGCGTGACAGGCGTGCGACATTGTGAGAGTGTCATTTGCGTGGCAGGGGCAGTATTTGCTGCAGATCTGTTGTGTGTGTGTGTGTGGAATGTCTTTTTGCGTGACAGGCGCAGTATTTGGGACACTCTACACTTTACACTTGCCACGCCCCACTCTACACTTTACATTTACATTCTACACATCTCTACACGCTACATCAAACTTTACACTTCCGCTTTACACTTGACACTTCACACTTTACACTTTACATTTTACACTCCACATTTTACACTTTCCACTTCACACTTTACGCTTTACACTTCAGGCTTCACACTTGACACTCCACACTCTACACTTTACACTCCACACTCTACACTTGACACTCCACACTCTACACTTTGCACTTTACACTTCGCGCTTTACACTTTTCACTCTACACTTTGCACTCCACACTCTACACTTGACAATTCGCACTTTACACTTGACACCCGGCACTCTACACTTTACACTCAACACTCTACCCATTTGCACTCCACACTTTACACTCCACACTCCACACTCTAGATTCTACACTTTACACTTCACACTCCACACTTTACATTTTACACCCTGCGCTATACACTCTACACTTCAAACCCCACACTTTACACTTTACACTCCGCACTCTACACTTTGCATTTTACACTTCACACTTTCCACTTCACACTTCACACTCTACACTTTACATTTTAAACTCCGCACTTTACACTACACTTTACACTTTAAACTCCACACTTTACACTTTACACTTCACACTCTAGATTTTACACTTTACACTCCACACTCTACACTTCACACTTTACGCTCCACCTCTACACTTTAAATTTTACACATCATACTTTGCACTTGACAGCCCACCATTTGTACCATTAACATACGTGTGAGCATTCGGGTTCGTGGGCTGCATCTTGTTTGGAAGGGTCAGGCGTCATTCATGTTCTGCGTCCAAGTCTGGGACTGGAATCACAGACAAGGGCCACATGTTTGAGACACATTTGATGGGCAGGAAAAAGTGTCCTTTCCAGTGATCAAGGCTGATTTTAATCCACTGCACCTTTTCATAAACATCATGGGCCATCCAGCATACTCTCTGGAATTCAAACATGACTGCAAACATCTTCAATTTAAAGTGTCTGTTTATTTCCATTTTAAGCTGATGTTCCCATTGAAAGGTGTGGGGTTTCCCCAGCTGCTGCGCAGGACGCGGCAGGATTTGGCTATGAGCCGTGATCTCAAACATCAGCAATTCACAACGCGACCTCACTGGCGGTCGGGGAAAATTATGTTGCATAGATTTTAATAGGTGGAATTATATATATATGGAATTATGTTTTTCCAAAAATATGAGAAATCTCAATACGGGTCATACCTCAGGTCGGTCGCAGGGAGAAATCAGGGTGCAAAATTACTTGTCTCTTTGGGGACATGGAACTACTATGTTTCTATATGTTTGCCCAGAAAACCATGTTGGGATCTACAGCCATGAGGCAAGTGCAGTTGCACCTCATGCTGCGACAACAACAACGGGAACAGGTGCCCGCAGGGTGCAGTTGGACGTCTGGACGTCCCCACGGGAGTTTCTGCGGAGGCTGATGTGTTTGCTCTCAATGACGGAGGTTTTGATGCGAAAATCATCTATACATATAAATATTTGTATACATATATATATAATTGTGTTTCTCGCAGACAAGACCAATAAGATTGAGAGGGTCCCTGCCAAACTGCCAGATTCTTCTAGTCCTTTTGGAAACTGAAACGTTTTGGCAATAGAGTTCAAGTATTAGTTGGATAGGAGTTAGCATTTCTTTGAACTCTCCTGGTCTTGGTGCTTGGTTTTTTGTGGTTGGCGAATGGTTTGATCCATGGTTACACATGATTACACAATGCCAAGAGTGACTATAGAGTCCTGAAAGATCCTGTTGGTGACATGGTCATTGAGTCTTTTCTCATGCAGGTTTCATGCTGGAGAACAGCGAGGTATCCAGGTGTTACTTTTTGTTTCACTTGGTGAAGTTAGCGGGTTGGACACTGATTTGTGCCAAATCGCGACTAAGAGGACTGCTTCCAGCCTCTTTTTTTGGAGAAATGATGACAAATCCGGCTCAAATCTTTGTGGCGCAAGCCAGGAAGAAATGCGTCAAGTGATCGAAGAACAACGTCGCAAGCCGCTTGGCGCCGGAATATGTTCAAAAGAAGGGTTTTGATGTCAACAAAATGGAGATCTATCCAACATAAAGTTGAGATTACCAAAGAAGCCGATCTGAATGATCTGACCATGTCCAGCTGTGAGCACTTCACAAAATTAGGGACAACATGGCGAAGGGAGTTGATCGTTTTGAGTGTCACCAACGGCGGACGCAGAGATCACTAGCAATTTGCTGCAGGTTTGTCCATGTTTCTCCGAGCCATGAAAATCCCATTGCTAGTTATTAGAATAGGTTGTAGTGTGCTGTAGTACTTAATTTATCTATATTTGGCTTAATTTCATGATAACCCACACTGGTGATATTTCTCATGGCTCACATGTGTCACATATCACCAGCTTCATTGAAAACCATCACATTACAGTCGCCGCAGGCCCCTTTTTTAGCTTGGTGTATCTTGGTGTGGCATGAACTTCCCTATACCCTCTGGTAAACTAACATAGCTATTGAAAATGGCCATCTATAGTGGATTTACCCATTAAGAATGGTGATTTTCCACAGTTGCGTTAGTTTACCAGAGGGTACTTAAATTGCTTTAAAATTGTTATCCAACGCAAGGACCTTCTTGCACACATTGGAGACACCGAACTGACCATGGCAGTGTTGTAGGCCTGCTGGACTGAGACCTTTGATCAGCATTGCTTCAATGCAGATGTTGGCGTACATCCGCGAAACGAGAGACCGAACTGATGAATGGGACCTTCTTGTGGTGGTGCAGATGAGGCACATTGAGGCACTATGCACGGGATCAATGAGCTTTCGCCAACTGCACAAGTCCGAAATGCGAAAGATCCAAGGCTCTTCGACCTCCTGGATGGCCAGTGTCTCCGACCACACGGCCGACCGCTGATCCTACATCGCTGTGCCAACGGGCACTCAACTTGCAATGCCTTGTCCTCGTATAGACCTCGTATCCGACCTCCTATAATTATACCCTGTTCGGACCTTCGTATAAATGTACCCTTCTATCCCAGCATGACTTAAATGAGATTCTGGCAAGAATGATCTTGAGAAGAGGAGTTCCATGGGGATTGGTCAAAACTTTGAACTTGTCACACCTCTCCGTAGTATTCCGTAGTTATTGGATATGCAATTCTTTTGCCCAAACATGAGTTGTGGAATCAGAGTTCAATTGTGAAATGGGATCTTGTAAAAGTGGAAAGCCGGAGTTCCATTCGGAAATTGGCGCAGCTAGGCCACCTTAGGTCTGCCTGCGGAGTTCCTTGAGTACCTTCCGCCTTTCCCTGTACAGAGTGTAGGGTTGGAATTGGAATAGACTTGACTAGAATAAATTGGATAGAAAGATAGAAAGGATTGCGTGAATAGATGGATCGGATGGCTGGATGGATGGATCAGTAGATGAGATATACGAAATTGATTAAACTAGTTTAATGGATGGAGTGGATAGGCAGGGCTGACAAGATAGACAGTAGAGGTAATATAGATAAGAGATAATAAGAGAGACCCGGGAGATGTGGAGAGACAGGACGGATAGGAAAAATATGGGGAGACAGGCTGAGATAGGATGGATCATAAGTTGGTATCTAGGCAGGCAGGCAGGCAGGCAGGGTAGGGTGGGGTGGGGTAGGGTAGGGTAGGGTAGGGAGGTAGGTAGGTAGGTAGGTAGGAAAGTAGGTAGACAGACAGACAGGCAGACAGACAGACAGATGGATGAACGGATGGATGGATGGAGAGATGGAGAGATGGAGAGATGGAGAGATGGAGAAATGGAGAGATGGAGAGATGGAGAGAGCGAGAGCGAAACAAATAAAAAGATAGATGGATATAGATGGTACATTAGTGCGGACAAGGATACATATATGTATACAGAGAAAGAAACAGATCAGTGGAAGGTAAGATAGATAGAAAACATGTCCCATCACCTCACACATCAATGCACCGTTTACCAAATGCACGTTGCTCGGCACAGGATCGCAGAGCTCAAGATGCAGCAGGAAAGGCAACTTGGCATCAAAAGACGTGGATATGCTGGCTTCCGGTACTAAGGATTACTTAAGTGCTCCCCAAGGATTTGCACAATTTAAAGAAACAAAAGACTCAACTGTTCAACTCTTTGCAGTAGCAAAGTGACATTCCAAACCCTAATTCGGGGCTCCGAAAGGTGGGCCAGTTTTCATGTGATCATCCATATCAAGCCATGAATATAGGAATTGATACACCGATTCCCTTGGATTCCCATTGAGGGACGGATGACCATCCCCCCAAAAAAAAACAATGTTTTGACCTTGGCACGTCTTCTGCAGGAACTTTCCTCTGAGGTTGCAACAAGCACAACTTGCCATGCAGCCTCCTATGCTGCCTTTTGGATCTGCCATGAACTTCCCACCATCTTTCGCGGAAGCCCAGTGGGAGAACCTGGTGGGGCTTGGGAGGTGCAATATCATCGAAATACGGGAGGCTATAGTTTGAGAGTATCATTGGGTATCTGCAGTATCCCATGCCTGAACTCATTTTGTGTGCCAGTAGTGCTGCATCAGGCGGGGGCGGACGTTTCAAGGATAGGAAACCTATAGGCAAGGTGAGTTGTTGTGATCCATGGATCGCAAAGCGAAGCCACTGATGGACCGAAAGGTGGTTGGGGCTCTGCGTCTCTCTCTCTCTCTCTCCCTCTCTCTCTCGCTCACTCTCTCTCTCTCTCTCTCCCTCTCTTTCTTTTTCTGTCTTTAATCTATTTGTCTCCCTGTCTTTCTGTTTACATATCTATCTCTCTGACTCTCTATCTCGATCTCTCGCTGTCTATCTCTCGATCTCTATCTCTATCTACATATCCTTCTCCCTCTATGTTATTTACCCACCTTTCTATCTTTATCTTTATCTATCTCTATCTATCTCTACCTATCTCTATCTATCTCTATCTATCTATATCTATCTAGAGCTATCTATCTGTCTGTCTATCTATCTATCTGTCTGTCTGTCTATCTATCTTATCTATCTTATCTATCTTATCTATCTTTTTCTATCTTGTCTATCTTGTCTATCTTATCTATCTATCTATCTATCTATCTATCTATCTGTCTGTCTGTCTATCTATCTATCTATCTATCTATCGTCTATCTATATATCTATCTATCTATCTATCTATCTATCTATCTATCTATCTATCTATCTGTCTATCTGTCTATCTGTCTATCTGTCTATCTGTCTATCTGTCTATCTGTCTATCTGTCTATCTGTCTATCTGTCTATCTGTCTATCTGTCTATCTATCTATCTATCTATCTATCTATCTATCTATCTATCTATCTATCTTATCTATCTTATCTATCTTAACTATCTTAACTATCTTAACTATCTTAACTATCGTATCTATCTTATCTATCTTATCTATCTTATCTATCTTATCTATCTTATCTATCTTATCTATCTTATCTACCTTATGTATCTTAACTATCTTAACTATCGTATCTATCTTATCTATCTTATCTATCTTATCTATCTTATCTATCTTATCTACCTTATCTACCTTATGTATCTTATCTATCTTATCTATCTTATCTATCTTATCTATCTTATCTATCTTATCTATCTTATCTATCTTATCTATCTTATCTATCTATCTATCTGTCTGTCTATCTATCTATCTATCTATCTGTCGATCGATCTATCTATCTATCTAGCTATCTGTCTATCTATCTCTCTCTCTCTCTCTTGTCTCTGTCTCTGTCTCTCTCTCTCTCTCTCTGTCTCTTGTCTCTGTCTCTCTCTCTCTCTCTCTGTCTCTGTTTCTGTCTCTCTCTCTCTCTCTTTGTGTCTGCCTGTCTGTCTGCCTGGATGTCTGGCTGGCTGGCTGTCTGTCTGTCTCTTTGTCTGCCTCTCTGCCTGCCTCTCTGTTGTCTCTCTGTCTGTCTCTATGTCTCTCGGTCTCTCGGTCTCCCTGTCGGTCGCTCTGTCTCTCTGTCTGTCTGTCCAGTACTAGCTTTCTATCATTATCTATCTAGCTCTCTATCCATGTCTCTGTCTCTCTGTCAATCTCTCCCAATCTGTAGCTCTCTTTTTCTGTGTCTCTATATCTCTCTCTCTCTCTCTCCTCTCTCTCTCTCTCTCTCTCTCTCTCTCTCCCTGCACATCTCTCTCTCTCTCTCTCTCCCTCCCTCCCTCGCTCTCTCTCTCTCTCTCTCTCTTTTTCCATCTCTCTTGATATCTCTCTACATCTCTCTACCTTTCTGTCTGTTTGCCTGTCTGTCTGCGCATTTGTCTACGTACCTCTCTTTCTATCCAACTAATGATCTTTCTGTCTCTATCACCATCTCCATCACTAATGATCTCTATCTGTATCTCTATCTCTATCTACCTATCTATGTGTATGTAGGCAGCAATTATGGGGGACTAGGTTGACAGATCCAAAACGAAGAAATTTTGCGAGACCCCTTTAATTCTTGAAATTGTCAACATCAGAAACGAAACAATTCTGCGAGACTTCCTTCAAAAATGGAAAGTTGAGTGCAGAGCTGACGGCCTCGTACCAATGCGTTTTGCAATTTTTCCATCCTATCTATCTAAAGTAGTGCCTGCCACGATAAAGTGGAGCCAAGTCATACGAAGTGCTTCGCGCAAAATCATCTTGGCAAACGTGAGGACCCTCGCAGGAAATCGTCCTGACCTCCGAACATGTCGGATGGAGATGTCTCTTGTACTGTGCTGGCCACGAAACAACGCCTGAGACTGCTACAAAACCCTCGCATTTTGCTCGCTACAAAACTCTATCTATTGGGCCTTCCACGAAAAATGACAGTTAAACGATGTTAAACGTCAAAAGTTGGTCCGAACGTGGTGTGTTTGTCATTTTGACTCCGAAATGTGCTTTGCACCACATCCGCGTGCATTTTTTGAACAACGCAACTTCCAAAAGTGCTCCGAACCTGATGTGTTTCTGACGTTTGGACTTCAAAATGTGCTTCGCGCCACAGCCGGGTGCACCTGTTCAGCAGCTCGCCAAAAGTGCCCCGGACGTGAGATGCTTTTAACATTTTGACTTCGACATGTGCTTCGCGCCACAGCAGCTGTAATCTTCGATGCCTCATCCGACCGGATGGCTCCGCACCCGCCGCTTTAGCGAGCCTACTTTTCGACCCGAAAAAACACTGTTTCGCGAGTTTTCTACCTTTTCGCCCACTGATCTTGTTTCTTCCTCTTTCTCGTCTGACGTTCTCTTCTCTGACTCCTCTCGCCACTGCTGCTTCACCTGTCCATACGTCGGAAGTTTGACTTCTAAACTATAGTGCTATGCTTGGCGCGCCAAACCACCTGCCATCTCACATTGAGTTTCTTTATGAGGTTCGTTCTGAGAAGGAATACATGGTGGCATGGCCCATATGACACATCTCCCTGTTCCAAGACTAAGCGCCAAGGAAGGAAACACAGATTACAGACTGAAGGGCAGAGGCTGCACAGGTTTGCAAATGTCACATACGTCCCATGGTCCGAACATGAGTAAATTTCCATAAATTTCCCATGTTGCCACATGGTCATCAATCCATTAATAGGAATTTATGACCGCATTGTAGGGAATCCCCAATGATGGTGGGATGACCATAAACCACCGGTGCTTGGGTGGTCATGGACCTCCAGTTCGGACACCCAATTTTTTGCCCCATGTGTCCCAAATGGGGCACCACAAAATTTCGATGTTGATCGTTTTCCTATCAAAATGGTTTTCGCCAGTAAAAAAAAACTACTCAGTTGTTTTTCGAGTTGGTATATCCTGATTTGCGTCATGTCGTAATTGTATCCCATAGAATAATTGGTACTGTAACCCATTTTTGGGGAGAACCAGTGACCATCTTACTATGGTGACACTTCAAAAATGTCATGTGTCCAGTGACATGGATCTTGGTTTGATCGGTTCATAAGTTGAGCAATGCGCAATGCCAAGGCCGCCTTTCTTTAGAGATCAGCCGACGCTGTTGCCCAATCTCGCAGGATGCCTGGCTGGGTCATATTTGGATGTCTACTCCAATCCTTTATTTGTGTACATGTTTGTTTCGATGCACAAGACCCATTTACTAAGCAGTTGACGCTTGGATTTTTGTTGCATGGTATCAAAGATTGGCCATGATAAGACTGGCTGGTAATTTTGGACATTGTTTACTGATGTATATTGTCCATCATTCACAATGATGCTAACATGATCATCGACCAATCATCAATGCTGGAAGTCTTCACCAAAACACGCCTATTCATTCTGTAGTCCCAAAGATGTGTTTTTATCCTCTACTTTTTGCCATGGTTTCCGGGGGTGTTGAATATGAAAGAGGGAAGGGATTATAGATGTGGTGTTTTTTAAGTGATTTCTGATTTGTTGGCCAGTCATGTTTTATCTCCCGTATGTCAAAGACAGGATTCCACATGGGTCTCATTCATCCGGAATTCCGGCGGTCAAAGCCCTGCGCTATCACATCATCAGCATGCCTTTCTGAACTCATAGGTGGTGACTAATCCCCATGTTTCCACGTTGATGAATCTCCCATTGTCGGTCAATATCGCCTGATTTTGTTGTTCCATTGCTCCATACCCATAGATATCGCAGCATCATGAATTGCGGTTCATACTCACATTTGGAATCTCCACATTTGATGCGTCGAAATTATATAATCCGATCCCCCTAATATTAAACACCCCCTAGATGGTTGCAAATATGTATATAAATGTCTTATTGAGTCAATTAAACCGTTGCTTCTGAGGATTTAAATCCCGATTGTCTGTGGCTGTGTCTTTTTGCGTGCTCTAGGAGGTGGATCTGCTGGATGCCCACCACCGCCAGAAGCACAGCAGTTCAAGTCTATACCGCAACTTGGCGCGCAACCATGCTGGGATCCATGAGTGAACGGATGATCTCCCACGCATAAAACATCTTTTATGGGATGAACATTAAAAGGTGCCGTTGTTGTTCACCATGGTTTGGCTCACCCCATTCATTCGCAGAGACTCTCCAAGCTGAGAGTCAGTGGCATGAGGAAAGAAAATGAAAGATCCAATTCTATCCAATTCTATCCAATTCTTGCGTCCATTCCTGAAGGTACCATGATTCCGGAAAGCGTTTGAGAATTGCAGGGGTGCCCCAAGCCCCGAATCACTGATCCCAAGGGATAAGTGAGCAACGAAGGGTGAATCAGCCCATTTTAAGCCAATGAAAATGAAGAAGTAAACAACAAGAGTTGTAACAAAAGTGATTTCAAGCAACAAACCCAAAGTTTCAACCAATCTAAATGAAGATGACGGTATATCATGGTATATCACTGATGTCACTCAGGAAAATCATCACAACTGGTGGAGCTTATCATGGTTTATCATTATTTTTCCCATTGAAATTGCCATAAGTTGGAGGTAAAACCCATTCACTGGTCCTTATCATCTTGTGAAATATGTTATCTAGATCCTGGTGAATGGTAATTTAGCTATGCGAAAATGATCATGTTCGATGGCGGTTTATCATCGAACTGGGCCATGTTCATCAATTTTCCCTGCTTCGCCCCAAAATGTTGCCATGTTCAAGTTTTCATTTTCCCACGATTTTCCGATGGAAACCCATGGAAAAATGATGAAAAATGCTCCGCAAATCCCCATTTTCCGGTCCAAAACTTCAAAATCTCAGGCTCTGAACGAGGAATCACAGGCATCGACCTGGCTGCACTGCTCGGCAAGGTCTAGGAGCCCACTGCTGCGACGGATGGGTCAAAACTGGGTACCATATGGGGGTTTCCTAAAATATACCCTCTGGTTATGTCAAAATAGCTATTGAAAATGGCCATTTATAGTGAGTTTTCCCATTAAAAATGGTGATTTTCCATAGTTATGTTAGTTTACCAGAGGGTATTATATTGATTGTTACTATATTTATTGATCAAAACTGATTGTTACTGTAATTATATATATAATATACAGATATGAGTGTTTCCTGAAATGGGGGTACCCCCAAATGGCTGGTTTATTTCATGGAAAATGCCATCTATAAACTATAAATGGATGATGACTGGGGGTAGCTCTATTTTACGAAACCTCCATGTTGTTACCATATTGTTACCATATGACTGGGGGAATAAGCATCCAGCATCATCCAGCATCATCCAGCTATCTTAGGGTAGGATGCCAGCGTTTTCACTGCCACATCTTGCGATTTGGAGTTGACCATAGGGGGACTTGACCAAGCAGGGAGTAGAAGCAGGAGATTCAAGCGACTTTCCAGTAAGATGTGGGAATATTTAGGATGCGGCAAGTAATGTGGACATGGTGTGGGCCTATCAGCCAGCAACCATGGTGTCCAGATGTCCAGTGATGTACCAAACGAAATTGTGGTGTCGGAGTGGGTTTGGAGGCTTCCAAGACCGATTCATTGATGCTTTTTTGGCACCGAGCAAAGAAAATGTTCTTCGAGGTCTTGAACTTCAGCATTTCAATCCATTGATCCGCCCAAACATGAGTTGCTTCTTGTTCGTCTCAAGATTCCCCAGAGGCAGATCCAACCTTAGTGACAAATGGGAAATAACACTGTTTGCTGGTAGCAAGTGTCTGATTCACGGGATGTGCCCAGCTAACCCTGTCAAAAGACGGATGCTCAAATGGGCATGGAATGTCAATTTTCTCTTCAACATGTTTTCGTACACACAGCACATTACCATCGTTGTGGTTGAGTATTGCTTGGGTGTATACATTTATTAATATACATATACGTATACCTTTACCTTATCTACCTTACATTACATAATTATATGTATGTATATATAATCATGATGTATGTAATCATGTCTCACATATAATCATCCCAATATACATTGTATATTACATTGCATTATATACCTGATTATATATACACGCACATGTATATACAGTGTGTGTGTGTGTGATGACGACCCATACGTATTTCCTCGCTGGCCGCAGGAGAGGTCGGCGAGGGTCAGTTCTCGGTGTCGTGAGGTTGACCAGTTCTGCGGTGTTTTGGAGGATGTTGGATGGAAAATGGTTGAAAATGGTTGATTATCCATATATGATCCATAAATGTATATTGAGATGATGGTTGAACTGGTTGAACTGGTTGAACTCATATATTTTTTCAAGATGGTTGAAACCACCAACCAGGTTGATGATTTTGTTATCAGAATTTGAGTCAGAATGGCAGATCTTTTATGAGACTGGCTTGTTGCAGTCCGAAAAATACTCAGATCAACCAATCAGAACGCGGAACAATTCGTGTAGGTCACGTATCACAATACAACTTGGACCCTGGAGAGCCGGTGCCAGGCAGTGTCACCAGTTGACGTTGATTTCTTCAGGGAAACGAGCAATGCACTTTTCAAGTAATGGACATCAGTGCATGTTTTGTGGGCCTTTCACTCGTTTGGATGATTTGCCACGGCCACAATCTACCAAGAGGGAGCAATTGAGGACCCACTAAGGCCGATTCCTGGCTTAGTCTCAAAGTAAACGCTCGATGTGTTGTCACATTCAGGGGATTACCAGGGAAAGAATTACGCGTTACAGGTATATTACATAGAATGACGATGTTCTTTGCGAAATGATCCTCTTTGGTTTCACAAAAAAGTCTGGAGCCGCCTTAGTTCATCCTGGCACAATGCTATCTCAGGGTCCTTCATGTTGCTGCAAGGCTGGGCTTTGTAAAGAGCATGGCAATAGACAATTTCTATGTTTTTATTCATTTTGCGGGTACCCGGGAGTTGGGTTTGAAACAAAGTTGGAAGATTCATGTCCTGTCATCACAGCAAGCAGCGATCAGAGATGTGTGCCTATTTGAATGTGCTTAAAGATACCCAAAATCCGGCTGTTTATCATCAGTTTCCCATCAGAATTGCCTTTTTGGGGTATGCCTCCATGTGGTTTTCGCTGCCATTTGTTTCAAGCCCACTCCAAGGGATCAACAGCGAGTGCTGGCCAATCGCAGGCTGAAGCCATTGTGCAAGCCGTTCAGAGAAGACCGCTGTAGAAGTCAGAAGACATCCCATGTCAACGGAGAGCAAAGGAGACAATAATGCAGAAGGAAAACAATAGGTTAATTAAGCGGAGAGCTACAAGCCATGGGCTGCACGGGATTCTGAGTTCCAAATGTTTCTAGGAGCTGATGGCCCAAAGTGGGCAGGGTGGTGTCCAGCTTATCTCAACATGGTCTCCCCGCTCAGTGCGACGTTTGCCATAGGCCGCGGTGTCTATCTTTGGTTCCGGGGAATGTATGAAATTCCTTCGATATTTGCTGTCATGCTCTGTCATGCACTGGTGCAATTTGTAGTATGATGAGACTTCTGGAAAATGCACCCAGTTTGGTTGTTATTTCAGGGTCTACTGTATAAATTCTATAATTCTTGCACTTACACCCTTTGCAGTAGGCCACAGCAGGCCATGGCATTCAGACAAAGTGTGTTTGCATCGAAAAAAACAGACCTTGCAAGATCTCACTGTAAAGTAAGGGTACTTGCCATCGGTTCATTCACATGAGTGGCTGTCTTTTGTTGGGAGCACCGTGATTCTCAAGCGGATCATGATTGCCGCTGATGGGCAAAGACTCTCCGTCGTGGGGTGGCTTCAAACCATAGCCCGGCCAGCATTGCATTTGTCAGCGATTGTGTGCTTCCCCTCTTCGCGAGGCATCTCAAAGGTTTTGATTCTTACTCCCGAAGATGTCGGTTCAAGTTATGTTCAACTCTGCGATGTTTTTTACAGAAGATCTGGACTTGGAAAAATGAAGAATCATGTTCATTACTTGGTTCCGGGAAACGGGAAGAAGCCCACGCGAAGAGCGTTGTTCGCAATGAGGTTTGGGTGGGTTGGAGAGCTGGCGCTAATGTTCATCACTGCAACCAACAAGAGTGTAGGGGTACAATAAGGAGGGACTGTAATAGGAAGATCATGGGATCTAGAACCAACAACATGAATTTTTGTTTCAAAATGAAGTATTCTTCCCACATGGCTATGTTAACAGGGGGAATGATGATTAAGCATGCGATTTTTGGGTACCTAATTTCAGACAAACCCATATAGATTTTTTGACACCATTTCTCAACATATTGAAACAGCTCATGGATTCCGGTTTCCCATGTTGAAAAAAAACGTATGTCCAAGGTCAGGACGTCGAAACCCACCCGGAGGTGGGAAGTACATCTAGCTGGTTGCTGGTTGCTTACGGGTTTCTGCTTGTACAATGAGGCACCTCAAGATCATACAATAGGTTTCATGTTTAATAGGGAAACCATCATTTGGTGTACCCTATTCTTGGGGGGAAGACCCATGTGTATAGTCCAGCCCTTGAAGCCCCAGTTTCTTTCCGATAGGTTGAAACCACAAATTCGTTGTTCTTCCACTTGCAAATTTACTACATGATCTCTAAGAACTCAGGGCTTGTCCCCCACATTCATTGGATTCCGGTCTGGCTTTCCTTTCACTTTTTACGGCAGTCGTGGAGGGCACGACATTGTGGCCGATGACCCTGCCCGTGCTCATTTCTGATTACTGCCCTGGGTCCAAGTGATTGATGCCACTGAGACAAGCACAACTGGCTCCCTGCACAACGGTTGAAGGAATTCCCCCGGCGTCAATTCCTGGAGCAGAAGCACGAGCAGAAGCACTGATCCTGTGCGGCCGTGGATCCCGGTAAATAGCTTTGCGTGTCCAGCTTTGAAAGGTGGCACTTGCTGATTTTGGAGCACAGACACATGCTCACAGTATGAGGTTGGAAAAATTTGGAAAACACAGTTCAATAAACCGGAAATTGGGAAAAGGTGTTGTTTCACTCTTGCACAAAACTCAAAGCTCGTTTCCATGATCCGTTGAACTTCTCCCTAGGGAATCAGACAACCTTGGTTGTCAAAAGTCCTATAATTCTTTAGAGACTTGCCGCCTCCACTTTGCAGAGTTTCTCGTTTCCTGTCTGTCTGTCTATCTATCTATCTATCTATCTATCCATCTATCTATCTATCTATCTATCTATCGATCTATCTATCTATCTATTTGTCTATCTATCTATCTAATCTAGTCTTGTCTTATCTTATCTTATCGTATCTTATCTTATCTTATCTATCTTATCTATCCTATCTATCTATCCTATCTGTTTGTCTATCTATCTATCTTCTAATCTAATCTAAACCAATCTAATCTAATCCTATCTTATCTTATCTTATCTATTTATCTATTTATCTATCTATCTACCTATCTACCTATCTACCTATCTATCTATCTATCCATCTATCCATCTATCTATCTATCCTATCTATCCTGTCTATTCTATCTCTTCTATCTCTTCTATCTCTTCTATCTCTTCTATCTCTTCTATCTGTTCTATCTGTTCTATCTATTCTATCTATTCTATCTATTCTATCTATTCTATCTATTCTATCTAATCTATCTAATCTATCTAATCTATCCAAACTATCTAACCTATCTAACCTATCTAACCTATCTAACCTATCTAACCTATCTAATCTATCCAACCTATCTAACCTATCTAACCTATCTAACCTATCTAACCTATCTAACCTATCTAACCTACCTAAACTATCTAACCGATCTAACCTATCTAATCTATCTAATCTATCTAATCTATCTAATCTATCTAATCTATCTAGTCTATCTTGTCTATCTTGTCTATCTTGTCTATCTTGTCTATCTTGTCTATCTTGTCTATCTTGTCTATCTTGTCTATCTTGTCTATCTTGTCTATCTTGTCTATCTTGTCTATCTTATTTATCTTGTCTATCTTGTCTATCTTGTCTATCTTGTCTATCTTGTCTATCTTGTCTATCTTGTCTATCTTGTCTATCTTGTCTATCTTGTCTATCTTATCTATCTTATCTATCTTATCTATCGTATCTATCTTATCTATCCTATCTATCTTATCCATCTGATCTATCTGATCTATCTTGTCTATCTTATCTATCCTATCTATCTATCTATCTATCTATATATCTATCTATCTATCTATCTATCTTATCCACCTGATCTATCTATCTATCTATCTATCTATCTATCTTATCCACCTGATCTATCTGATCTATCTTGTCTATCTTATCTATCCTATCTATCCTATCTATCCTATCTATCCTATCTATCTTATCTATCCTATCTATCCTATCTATCCTATCTATCCTAATCTATCTATCTATCTATCTGTCTATCTATCTATCTATCTATCCAATCTAATCTAATCTAATCTAATCTAATCTTATCTTATCTTATCTTATCTTATCTATCTATCTATCTATCTATCTATCTATATATCTATCTATCTCTCTCTCTCTATCTATCTATCTATCTATCTATCTATCTATCTATCTTACTTATCTATCTATCTATCTCTATCTATTTGTCTGGAAGCATATTTGACGTAACCATCTAAAACATGTTAAGATAATAAGCTTTTTCAGAGGCTTTTGAGGAACGGCGGGGCGCACAATATCAACATGGACTGTCCCATTCTTTAGGTAGACAAGGAGTGTCCTTTCAACTTGTGCCCACTGGTTCCCATTCTTTAGGCATCATAGATGGACTAAGGGTATTTGATGCTGGAGTTTTACATGTCCCCAAACGTTGTGTTTTGGTTTCTTGGAGACTGAATTCCATGCAGTTTTTTTCAAAAAAAATCATCACTGGCAGTGCCACTGCCACTGACCTGTGGTAAAAACCACAGGTGCGACACCTGTGTTGCACCAGAGATCTCCGCATCGGGCGCCGGTCGTCGAGTCGTCGGGAGTTCATGTCACTTGGCCTCTGCAAAGAATCCGGTGCAGATTCGTCACACGAGATTGATATTAATAATATTGTAATAATATTGTAATAATATTGTAATATAGTGTAATATAGTGTATAAATTTATATCATATGATTTTAATATCATCTAGGAATCATACATGATTGCAAAGATCAGACACTACGAGAGTATGATTCTGCCAAGGTTTCCAGTAGGTCACACACCGAGAAAACCTGATTTTTTGCTTTGGAAGCTGTTCAACTTCACCATTTCTCTGGAAATGTTGGTTCAACCTGAGATGCTATCGCCAACATCTCTAGGCTGAGCTGGGCGCGTGTCTCGGTCAACAACTAAGCAAAGATTTTCAGTGGCTTATTCAAACCGTTTAATGGATCATGAAGCAATATGAATCACAATGAATGATAATGAATAATAATGAATCTATGTCAAGCTGCAAAGGCCGTTGAGCTCTTGGAACTGTTCGTGGAATTCTGGCAAGAAGCAGCAATTTTCACTGCTAGTACACCAACGGCGGTTTCGTGGCAAGGGATTCAGGTCCCTCACTCGTGGCACCCTTTGGCTCTAAGCCAACTGCTTCAGAGCCAAGCTGTGTGCCGGCAATGGTTGATTTGCTGATGTTTAGCTGATATTTGTTTCGTTCAACTGAATTTCCGGAGTTGAAGTTTCAGTTTGAGGAAAAAACAGCATCAAAAAGTCGTGATTCAGTATAATTGTTCCATTGCCATCTCACTTCAAAGCCGCTGAGAGCATGCCTCATTTCCAAAGCCAGTGTCGGCAGGTCAAGGCCAGCTCTACAAATCAGATTGCCGCCAAAGACTTTTTGGATACCTGGGATACCTGACTTGATGATACTTATACTTGATGCCCGTAAATCCGTCAATTCTTGAATGTAACTGGAGTACATATTATATCATATATTATGTGGGCTCGAACTGGGGCCGTGGGAGCTTTCCCATTTGCAAGACCTAGGATCCTAGGGGGGTGCGGAGAGCAGGATACATCCTGCGAAATGATCCTGTTTTCTTGAAAAACTGACATATGAGACATGTAAAATGATGCAAGTTTCATATATTATTGGCAGGAAATATTTTACAGAACAGGATTCACAAAACAAGAGGCAATCTTTTGAAACCTGCACAGAAAGAATCTCCTGAGATTTTGAAAACGATAATATACATACATATATAATCATATATATATATAAATAAATGAATGAACGAATAAATAAATATATGTATATATAATATTATAAATATATACATACATACATACATAAATAAATTAATAAATAAATACATAAATACATAAATATATAAATACATAAATAAGTAAATAAATAAATAATAAGTAAATAAATGAATAAATAGATAAATAAAATAATTTTAAAAAAAATAATTAAATAAATAAATAAATAGATAAATTAATAAATAAATAAATAAACAAACAAATAAACAAATAAACAAATAAATAAATAAATAAATACTTAGCCAGACATTCCCTTTTTTGTATTCCAAGACTAGGTTTCTTAATTATATAAAAGGAAATTAATTGAAGATAATATTAGGTTCTAGAAAAATGTTTTGAAGTACCAAGATTAAACACAACCAAATGCTTTGACACCCCTGGGGCACTTGGCCGGCCAGATAGGAGACTAAGCCCACACGCATCCCTTCTACTTTGCCCCACCATTAAAGATTCCTGGTTAAGTTTCGGCAAGGCTCTGGCGAGATATTGTAGGTATTGTGATCGGAGATGTTTGGTAATGATCCTTGCGGTGTAATTTAGCCAGAACTAAGAGTTCTTGATTTACATAAATGCGTGTCGTTTTAATAGATTGCCAGGGGTTATGTACTAGCAGTTTATCAAAATGGGTAGCTCCGCCACCAAGAAGTGGAGGGAATATTGCCGAAAATTAACCTGATCCATCCCTACCGCGTTTTATTACCATCTACAAGCGGAAAACATAAAATATGATGTGCCCCGCACCGGTGTTTTGCCATTGAAAGAGCCTACGACACATGTGTTCAATATGGATTGTAGTCACAGATTTGGCTTACCGGCCTTGCGTACATCGTGTATGATAGTAATTATATATGATTGTTCCGATTTCGATGATATGTTTTATTTAACAAATTTCGGAATTTATTAGTATGGAAATACTACATGCGGAAAAATAGAAATTGAATAAAAATTATCTCAATTTGGATAAATATGGAATAAAATCCTATATATATTTATTTATTTTATAAAAACCCGTTTAAATTTCTCGATTTATTTTTTTTAATTGTATTATATTGATTTATATTGGCTACATGATTTTAAAAAAATATATATATATTAAAAATAATAATAATAATAATAAATAATTTTAAAT